TTTTTGTCATGGGGCCCAAAATTCCTGGCAGCGCCCCTGACCACAGACATTATTTCAGACATCTAACCAAAAACACCATTTGACAAACCAATTGACTTCAAGGAGAGGTAACTGGAGGTGTTAAAATGCTAACTCAGTTCCGGGTTTAAGGACTCCTTTAAGGACTTCCTGCACTATAGTATAGATGTGACACATTTTGAGTTTCTTTCCTATCATAAATAAAATACACGTTTTAGTGTAGACAAATTAATAACGTTGTTGTTGCGTAGACAACCAGTCAAAGCAGATGCAACACATTTTCCACTAACAAGGACCCAGTTACAGTTCATGCACCTAGCTTTGAACTACGTTTTGACTGAAAATAAATTTGTTTGACCCTGAAAAGTTGATTCCCAGCTGGAACCAAAAAATATCAAGTTTCCTTGGGTACCAAAATGGGTGTGTCAGATTCTACAGGTCGTGCATTGTGCAGTGTCCCCTGTTCATCATTTATCTGATACACACAGATACATACAATGGTTCCACTCTTGATCACTGGTGGAAACGCAGGCTGGTTCACTAGATAGCACCAAGGTTCCAAGAATGTTGAAGAGAACTGGTTCAAGAACCAGAGCTAATTTCGTGGAAAAAGAACAGTGGGCTCACTTAGGGTTTTCCATTGGCACTTTTGGCAAACCATTCCGCGTTGATTTGCATTTCCATTACCAGTTTAAACATGCCGAGTTGTACCGAGTAACAACAGGCTGACAATTCAGTACACTGCCACCGTCATCGACTCAAGCCAAGTGTATCATCAGTAAAAGACACATATTCAAAGGGGTAGCCCCGTTGTAATGACATGCATAGCCAAACCAGGACAAGCCAAGCCAGCACATGTGTGTGGAAATGGGCTAAGTGTGGAGGAAGCTGGAACTCTATAACACTTACTCCAGAGACATAAAATCAGCTTGAGGGCACACAGGCATTCTATCCACTCAGCTCCATTACAGCCACACAAACAGCAAAACATTGTCGGCCAGCCCCAGATATACAGCTGAGGCACACACAGCCATTCACATATACAGGCTGCAGTCAAGGTGAGACACTCCTGAAGAAAATCTTTGTGAAATTGTAGTTACTAACGAGTTGTGCAGAATCTACCAAAGACTGTGATGAGAGGGAAAGTTTTCACTACTGCAGTGTGCATAACAGAGAGCAACAGGTCAGAGGGCACAATCGAGTATTACACAATTATTACCTCTCTCTGTCCTGTCTAATTCCTGCAAAGCACCATTTTCAAGGCATAGTTAATAATAACTCATTTGAAAAACTTAGTGTTCAAAATAAATGATGACTGCAGATTGTTTCTCAGCAGGAAAAACACAAAAGGGAAAAAGTGATTCAGCAAGATAAAATGTGGGTCTGCTATGAAGCACATTAACAGGAATAGTTATATGTAAGAAACATTCTCAGTATGGTTTGAATGTATAAACTGGTTCTTGCAAACTGTTAGAAAAGAGGTCAATTTGTGCAACACACACTGGTCCCAATGCACACATCACACATGCCTCACAGACAGATGAAGTACAGTAGCCCATCTGGGGAATATATGTGATAGACCTGCTGCTTTTCTGAAGAGTTGACGCACAATGAATAGGACTGTGGTATAGCCTGATGTTCAATGCAGGTTTTTAGGCCTACATAGAAAACCACAGACTGCAATACGTCAGTGAGTGATGCCCTTTAGGAAGCTAAGAACACCCATGTTTGCCTAAAGATGACAACTTTATTTATTATTATCTGACGATTATCTGGACTTTCATGAGGGATAGGTCTCATCATGTCAAAATGATGGGTAGTACAGTTGGTTTCTTCAAGGAGATCAAGATAATTAAAGTGATTGCACTTTTAAGTTGAGGGACTCATGAGAGTTTGATAAAAACAAGAACAGTCCAGAAGTATCTTGACTTTTAGTCCATGTATGGGTTCATTCACCTTCGCATCCCATTTTTTCCAACCTCTATGACACCAATGATATATGATATCATATGATAATGAAGCCAACAAGGAAGTAACAAAAACTGCAGCTCCTCAAATGTCCACTTGAGGCTAACTCCAGAAATGAGTAAGTCTCCATAGGGTCCCATATTAAAATGTCCAACTTTACAGCAGGAATAAACATATTTTCAGCCTGGTACAAAAAACGGTTTACGTCTCTTTAGCTAATTTCCCTGTTTATGAAAACTGTACCTTTATATAACTCACCTGTTTGAATTATATTAAGGCTTAAAATGATGCATAATTAAGGGCATGGAGGCTTTGAGTGACAGGTGGGTGGCATCACAGACAGTTTTTTGATTAGCAGGTTGATGGTTTCCAAGATTGCATTTCGAGTAGTTGAGTTCCGCTTCTTTTGCTCTTCACATGGACTGTTTGCCTGCATGCAACCAAAGCCTGCTCAAATGTGATAGGCCAGTACTACTCTGACTACAAACAGAAACCAAAATGCTTCCAATGTCAAAATCTTGGTCTCTCGCCTACAGATTCTGAATTCATATGCAGATATCAATTTGTAATAACCGAAATAACCCTGATGGCATCACTTTAGTCCCTTTGCAATGCAACCCAGACCACATCACGACATTACCCAGAGGAGCTGTATGTGAGAATGCAAAAGTCTGAATCAGTTGGACTGGACATTAAACAGACTTTACCCTGCCACCTCTGTGGTACAAAGTCTGTGTAATGTCTGATTGTAGCTGCTCCTTACTCTTTTTTTTGTTTGTTTCTTTCCACTCTCTCGTTGATACCACAGATACGTCCAAATAGATGTTGCACTGATATCAATACAAAATCATTACAGATTAGCCCCCTTCCTCCTCCTGCACGCACCTTGGTGCCACCCCTCCCCTAACCCAAAGTGTTTCCAGTAGGTGAGAACATGTCCGACATGGACAATGTCCTGATGTGTGCTACGTGTGTGAAAGGGCAACTCTGGACAATGTCTAGACAATGTCCAGCTTATGACATCATCAGGGGGTACTTAGACTTGACAAAGTCTCCAGAGCCACAGAAGACATTGTAAGTCTTTTCACAGGCTAAGTAAAAATCCTCATGACATTTGTGTGTAAAATTAGTTGAATTCCCCTTTAACTTGTGATGTCAGTATAACAGAAGTTATTTGCAACTCTGCAGATAAAATGCCAGTAGAATGACAAAGGGGTAGGATGGGAAGGAATAGAATCTGGCTGGGGGGAGGTAGTGGCAGTTGGAGGGGTCTTCCTTCTACCCGTCCAAAGCCCAGCAACTGAGTATCTCTTCTGCTGGAATTTTCCATGGAGCGAGTGGCAGGCCGGGTATACACACACAATGCCTCAGAGCTAACTGGGTTTAAATAGATGGCTGTGAGACCTGGGACAGTGCCTCCAGCATTCCCATATACACCCCCTCACCCTGCTGCCCAGCATTTCTGTAAGGCTTCCAGGGCAATTGTGCCCCACATTGCTGCCTCTGAGGACTTCCTGGCGCCCAACCAAATAAGGAAGATACCCTGTGTGGTACGTGTGTGTGTGTGATATTCACTTTCACAGCAACTCACGCTCACACGTCAAGTGAAAGAGACTAAATAAATAGAGCCGCTGAAGGGTTAACTGCCTGATCTCTCTCCTGTCAGAATCTGTCTCCAGATGTGAGGACCTGGCCAGTGTCACCAGCTCACATGAATGGGAATCAATTCTGGCCTCTTTCCTCCCTGTGTGTTGACTCAGTATTATTTATACCCTGTAAACGCTCTCCTGGCTACACTTGGCATCAGGCCCGATCTATTCATATTTAAGGTATTTACACAAGAGGCAGGGCCAAGCATAACATTTAATGCAAAATACACCTTGGGGCATACAAAATGTTGCACTAA